TAAATGTTTTAACTAACAACCATTCAGTATTTTTTAACAAGTGAGTATGATTTCACTAGTCAGTATAAACAGTGAGCAGTATAGTGAGTCATGAAAAAGTAGTTCATTATACCACAATCCCAGATATTATAAAACTTGATGTTGATACCCACAGCCCGAGATAAAGCATCAAAATGAAATTTTACAAATCTAGTGTTTTTCGGAGTAGCAATAGAGTCCTCAAGCTAAACACAGTCTGTTCAATGAATGCGAGTTGATCTATTAATGTTGCTCAGTATGGGCAAAAATGAACTCTCGGGAAATGTTGAGAACTGTTTAAAGTGATAACCCATTGAAACAACAGCCAAGCAACTGAATAGCTTGAATTTTGAAGACATCTAGATATGTTTTGAACAATGAAATTGGAGATAAGACAAGTGTATTGCTGTAAGTTGGGAGTATTTGGGAGGGTATAAAATTGGTGTACCATAAATTTCATGAAGTAAGGCCTTCATAACCGCATTCCGCACGTTTATTAAACAGACTACGTAAATATTTCAATAGATGACCGTAAAAATTTAGCAGAACACTAGTCGATCAAGCACGAAGAAAAGCACTGTAATATAAAATTATTTAAAAATACATTACTAGACTTCATATAATCTCACCTTTCATATATGCCTCTCGACCATTAGGTTCCTCTGAACATTTACTTAGAAATTCTTTATAACCTAAAGTTGTCAAATCATATAGTTTAACAACACCTAACCCAGGTTCTTTTACAAGCCAATATGTATGACCTTCTTGTGTTGCATTCCGTTTTAAAAACATAACTAAATTACGTATAATTTGATTAATTTGTTCCGTTTCAAATCCAATTATCGGTGGAATTTCACATGTTTTGTAAATTTCATATTCTTGCATGACGATACCTTCATGATGATAACACATAGCCACTTCGGGGACTTCATTGATAATATTTTCAAGCCATACATCAATTCCGGTTAAAACATTAATTGACTCATGTAATGGACTTAATTTTAGACTAATACAAGGATGTTTCGGTGTGCCGAATATAGGCATATCAGAGCCCACAATAAAACTGAGATCTTTTAATTGCCATTCAGCAGTATGAAGATATTGATCTGGATTTATAACCCATGATGATCGAAACTGTCTACTTTCATTATTTTGTTCAGCATTGTTGGTTGTAACTGTATCGTCCAATGATGATGACAATGCGACGTCTACCATGGACAAATGTTCAACCCCAACAGAACTCGGATCCAAACGAGTGCAAGCTACTTCTTTAGTGATTTCATTTCCAGCATGATCATCACCACTTGATGAAGGTAAACTTTTTGGTTGTAACATTTGTATTTTTTTCAAGCCAAGTTCAGGGGATTGGAAAACCCTATCCGAGAGGAAACAAAATAAAAGTAACATATCAAATAAAGCAATGAAACCAGATACTTACGTATGATATAGAAATTTCGATTCAAGATCATTTGAAATCAACACATTACGCGACAATGAATGAGAACACAAACGATAATCTTCCTTTTTTAGAAATTCACGAAGCCATAACCATTCGTGCTACAAAAATGAAGAAATTATCTGGGTGAAAATAAGAATATAACATACACATTCACCTCCGGATAACAAGAATGAATCAATATCGAATTCATTCAGAAGCCATGTTCTTCCTATTTTATGAATCATAGTTGATGTACGACTATTATTTTTGAAAAAAGATCGAATAAACGATTTGAATGTCTACAAAAAAAGGTTAGCATATACAATAAGATTGAACAAATTACTTTGATTCCACTGATTACATCAATATGATCCAGTTCATTTAAATATTCATTGGCTACTTTGAATCTAATAGTAAAATTCATATTAATATAAATAAACAGTAGCAACAAACCCAGCAAATGGAGATTTGATTGAATCTGACATTGTAGCATGGTAGATTAGTTTTTCGATGTAGGATTTCCTTGTAAGATAGTTTTTTGGCATTCTATGTAGATTGAAACCCTCATGTAATACCATACTGCCAATATCGCCTGGACTCCATAGAACGATTGATTTGTCAAAGTTAGCACAAATAGCTGTTTGTCTATTCTCTTTTTCTCTTGTTTTACGAAGTTTGTCTGATTCATCTGATGATTGGTTTTGTGTGTTACAGTTCATGATTACCTATAATGATAAAAACAGTAAGTTATATTCACTACTGAAAAGTTTGAAAGTGAGATCATACTTGTTTAAGTATAAGTAAATTCTTTGACAGAACTTATCTTACGCATTAAAGTTTTACTTTGATTAGACCCGTTAGAATAGTTTTTTATATTTCAAAAGCTCTATTATTCGTCGATAACAATTTTTAAAGGATGACTACACTTATTGGTAAGTCTTTTTAATAAGATCTTGATAGACATGGTATTTCATGTCAAAATAACTCAATTTACTCTGGTCTATATAAGTATGGATCTATGTAATTCATAGCCGAATGAAGTAACTCAAGTTTAAAATCATGCATGTTTCGAACTACACAATTTCTGTGTGAGGGATCAGAACCCTACATAGATGCTGAGAAAAATTAGATGAAGCAAGATTTAGAGATACTACTTAGCGGTTTAATAATATGTGTTTCAGCTACTAAGCTACGGCTTCACTCATGTTCAAATAAATATATCAGTATTTGTTGTTTTAGTACACATATCTTAGATCCTGTATAAACTAAAAGGGATCATATTGTTTCAGAACACCCAAAGTTTGAGAAATGTACACCAAATGTGACAGATTTGTCCGCTGGGGTAACGTTTTAGAATTATGGACATAATATCTGACTAAACAAGTTGATCACTCATCGTGTAAGCCTTCCAGTATATAAGCATCTACAAATACCTTATGAAAATATGATTTGCAGACCCGAACTCCTGCTTTTGTTTGTACTGATAAACTGTATCGTATAAGTAAGGAGCAATAAACCCCGTCAACTTTGACATACAAAGTAGACTGTTACGCATTATTCCTGAATGTCTCTCTTGCTCCATGGGTGTCGTAGGTTGATGAATCATAAAGGAAGTTTCTAAGTCCGTGTTGAGATTTTATCGGGAATTATTACAGTAGAGCTAACACACCTCAATCAAGTGCTTCATACGATCCCTCGGTGTCGGTAAAAACTCATGTCCGATCATCATACTACCCCTAAAAACTCTCACCCAAAAAAACCTTTTCAGATTTTCTTTCTAAAGATCATGGATCTTACCAACACACATGCAAGTTTTATTCCTTCCGATCAAATGCTTTTCAGGTAAGAAAACAATCATGGAAAAGGCAGAGACGGGAATTTATGTCTATCAATATACTTATTCGAAAACTGATAGTAGAATTTCATGGACGACGTCAATTATCTTCCTAGCTTCGGATAATTCTTTATAATCCTTTTGATGACTTCATCTTTGAGTAGTCATTTTAGTACCACAGTATGTCTGATTAGTACCACCTTTAATCAGAAGGCAGCATAAATCCCTGTAATCGATGGACACAAATTCGAGAAACAAATAAGGTAAAAGGTGTATGATACCTAGAAGAAATCTTGTACTTTAGAACCTAGATCGTGTCGAAAAGTGTATCTGGTTTTTTATCGCATAGCATTTTCAAGTTCCAGTTAAGCGTAAAATAAATAAGAACACAAGGTTCTAACAAAACAATAATAAGGTGTTTTGCCAGTAAACCAAAGTAACCAACGGCCAAGACCGGCTTGTGAAGATGATTAATGACTCCTAAAATTAATTTGGTCAGTTAAACTAGGCAGATTGCCACTTTTTGATACTTGGAATTGCATCACAAGTACTGTCGTCCAGTATCATTTTATATTTATAGCAACCTGTACAGCTTAGACCATATATATGGTCTAACTGATATCAGTTAGTTGCACGGAAAATTATCCTTTGCGCACTATAAACGTACTATTTATGCTGAAGGATTTGCATTAAATATAGTTATATCAAGCCCGATGAGCTTATCATGTTAAGAAAATGAGACTTTAAAAATCACAGATTATAACATACATAACGAAATCAACCGCAAGGTAACGACTACTTTCACGTCCAGCGGTAAAGTGTTTCAATAGACAATATCTTAAGGCAACATATGTTTGTTTAGAAGGACATCTCCGTGTGCTATAGTAACTCCACCAAGAAGCTCGTTCAATTCATCATCGTTGAGAATGGCTAACTGTGAATGTCCTGGAGTGATGCAAGTCCTCTTATCACGAGAAGCAATACCAGCTTATTCCATAAATTCTGCAGCCAGGTATTCGAGAACTCTGGTCCAGTAGACCAAAACACCGACACCAACTCCCCCAGAGTAAGCACCGTTATTTGAAAGAAAATGCACACGACCAACAGGGGACTGTAAAACGGCACGCACTGACTCTGTCTTAGCCTTGCTGCGAACTTCGTTACCTTTACTGGGTCCACTCATTATTTTCAAAAGTAGAGAAAAGTGTTTTTGATTTTTCTGCAATCTTGTTTGAATTTTTGTGCTTTCAGAAAACTTGTTTACACAGGTTGGAACAGAAAGCGAAAATATTTTAGGTAGGTTTTGGAAGAGATCAAGTTTTTTTCTTCTTGAGTACTAATTATTCGGGGTTCTAGTCTCTAGTAAGGATGATTGGTTTCTGTAATTGAAATTATTTTACGCAGATCCCACTTTTTTACATAGGTATCCTTGCATGTGATCAAAGAAGGACAATATAGTTCCGAAACAATCATTCGATTTTATGAAGCGAACGGCAGACCTGAGGACACTCAAACAGCAAATTCATGGGCTTCAAAGCTCACACAAACGCGTAACGAATCTTAGGCACCTTTTATTCGCGTGACAATATATTCCGCGCTTTAGTCAAGAAATTCCACAGATTAACTAAACCACTCGAGGAGATTTCATTGGTGACCAATCGTGTTGTACACCATATAGTCACCCGCAGACCCCCAGTCACGTCGAGACCACGCCGACTGGCACCGGACAAGTTAGCTTTCGATGAAGTGTCAATTAGCTGCAGCCTACGTGAATCGACTAGCAGTTCGTAGTGCTGTAGGAAAACACTACCGAGTATGGCTGTGGGAACGTCGGCAATGATGAACGTTCACAGATACTGTTGTCGGTTACCCAGGTTGACAGTGAGTTGTCGTGTACCATAGGTAGGAATGGCTGAGCCATTCGCAGCTCACAGTCGAAGCGTCGTAGCTTGTGACTTACTGTTACAAAGAGGTACGACAGAAACTTGAGCACCAGTATCTGCTAAGTACCTAGCGTTCGTGCGATAATCGTGCACATAAAATAAACGACCAACCTAGGGTGAAGGGCAGGGGACTACGACCGCTTTTACTCGCCGGCTTTGGGGTTTCCAGCCTTGTATGGGCACAAGGCTCAACAACAGCGAGCACCGGACCCTAAGGAGCGATGAAACCAGCACCGACCGCCACTCGCTTCCGAATCCGCCTTTCGGCGTGACTCGAAAGATGCCCTCGTTGGGCGAGTGGTTGCGGCTTTTCGAGAGCGCGATCTGACTCGAGAGACGTAGGGTTCGGGTATGTTGCAACGCTCTGGAAAGCTGAGACGTGTATGAATACAACCTTTTCTATCATCTTGAGCCGGGAAGTGACTAGCGTCCATATTCACGTTCGAACGTAACGCTGAGGCAACTATGTAGTTGTCTCGATTGACAGTCCTTGCCAATATTTTGTATGCTATGAGGGCAACCTGATTGAGTGGTGCGTCCTCGAGCAGGGCACAGGTCGTTAGTTGGATGTGTCCTGGTAATGATTCGAGACACAATTCCTTAACAATTTCGGAATCAGCTGCCGTAGGTCCTGCAAGAGATTGCAGGCTCGTGAGGTGGCGGCTCGGCGTATCATCATCCAGAGGGCGACGTGCTAATAATGTCCTCAACCGTTCCTCCCTCTATAAAAGGGGATGTCTGAGGATTGTCTTTTTAAGACGATCATAGACGTTAGGCACATTGGAGTTGAGGACGACCCCACGGACAGCGACTACGTGATCCCCTGGTAAAGATTCCGGAGTGTAGGCATGTTTTTGCCGTTGGCTCGTAATGCGACGGGTCTCGAATTGAGACTCCAATGCAGCAAATCAAACTTCTGGGTCGTGAGGGATAAAAGATACAGATTGACAATGGATAACCTGTACGTCAGAGTCTGTTATATTAATACTGTTCTTATCATTATCCATCATATCAAGTTGTTCCCAGTATATTATATATTGAAAAATATCAATGTGAAAATATGCAACAGACGTGGATAGATAACTAATAGACTCACCGCGATTGGCTTCTTTGGAAGATTTGGACTCGATTGGAAAGTGTTGGTATTATAGGGTTCACCAATTGTAGCATAGTGCCGAGTCGCGGTTGACTGTGATCACCACTACAAGAAGGTTACGTACCAGATATCAGAAGGCAATTGGAGGTTGTAGCGGAGTATATTTGTTTGTGATCTCGTGCTATCTAAACAATACCGAGATCGTAACAAAAGAGTACAAGCGGATCCATTGAAAAAACGTAAGTCTGTGCAAGGTCACAATCAACGGAAAGAAGAATGGAAGAATAATGGATGTCTTTAGTACAGTTAAGCAAACAAGTAAAGTGAAAACATCACTGGTACAACTGGTTATAATAATAACTGTTTACAATAAACCAGTCGCGTTCTCTTGATAAAAATAAGTCACTACAAATGCAATATTTATACATCCACAAGATGTCCTAATGCACCCCTCACCCTTACAAAGAATTACTGATTCCAAGATAATTATTAATATTCTTTTAATCTTGGTGATAAATGGTACTGTCAAAAGATTTTTTAAGCTACATCAATTCAAATAATTCAATATTATAAATCTGTTCTATCCTTGTAACATTCCCATTGTTATTCACCTGATCATACTTATAAATTTTATAAATAATTACAAAATATTATTTATTGAATACAGAAGAAAATATGGACAGAAATTAATAAATAAGACAAGTAAATGATGACACTGAAGCTTGTTTATGAAATGAGTATGTTTATTGTTTCTTTGTAATCAAGAATAATAAGTGCTGAACGATAAGGATAACAATAACTGCATGAAAAGCTAGCAGAAAATCGTTCTAATGATTATTACTATTT